GAGTTTGAAGTGGTTGCTGTGAGCTATGACACCACAGCACTCTACCAAGGGTGACAAAGTAAGACTCTGTCTCAAAAAAAAAATAAAGATTTTAAATAAATAAAAGTTATCTTATTTCTGACCACCAATAGTCAGGCACTAGTAACACTGTGAAAAAAAATTTTTTTCAGGTTTCCCCCTCTTCAGAGTAGAAAATAGAATTGTACTATTACAAAGTTGGAATTATAGCACATTTGTGGAATTTTGCATCCTATATTTTTACCTTCCATATTCTGAGCTTTTCCCCATGTGATTAGTCACGTAAGAGGTTATGAGAGTAAGTGAGCACACCAGGGAATGGAGTGGAAGGACCAGACAACCAAAGAAAAACATGACGGGATTGTTGGTAGTGTCAAGTGCCCATTTGAGGTCTAAGTTTGTGAATATAGAAAGAAAACACTACCTAATTTGGGGCTTTTCTCCAGCAATGTTCAGCTACTTGGTGTAGGCATGCAGAAGACAGAAGGGTTTATTCAGGGTTGTGAATTTATTATTTGCGCACCACAGAAGGTAAACAGGAAGGCTGGTGAAGACATTTCCAAGAAAGCCATTATGTAATATGCATAAATTGGACTGCGGGAATTTCACTCTTGACCTAGTCCCATGAGTGGAAATCTTAAGGCTTTCTTTTCTTTTTGGAGGGGGACAGAATCTCACTTTGTTATTCTTGGTAGAGTGCTGTGGTGTCATAGCTCGCAGCAACCTCAAATTCTGGGACTCAAGTGATTCTCTTGCCTCAGCCTCCCAAATATCTGGGTTTACAGGTGCCTGCCACAACGCCTGGCTATTTTTTCAAGACAAGTTACCACTCTTGCTCAGGCTGGTCTTGAACCTGTGAGCTCAGGCAATCCACCCGGCTCAGCCTCCCGCATGCTAGGATTACAGGTGTGAGCCAATGTGCCTGGCAATCTTAAGGTTTTCTTTGGTTTTATATAGTTGCTGGTAGACCTTTCAGATTCTTATCTTCTTTTCTAGCCAGCCCTCCTGTCCAGGGCCCCACTTTCTAGAGATAGGCATGAAGCTTAAAAGTATTGGGGACCATGGGAGGAGGAGTCATACAACATGGTCTCCATTGATTGTCTTTTTTCTTTTTTGAGACAGTCTCATTATGTCACTCCTGGTAGAGTGCTGTGGTGTTACAGCTCACAGCAACCTCTAAATCTTGGGCTTAGGTGATTCTCCGGCCTCAGCTTCCCTAGTAGTGGGGGAGGGGACTACAGGCACCCACCACCACACCCGGCTATTTGTTGTTGCTGTTGTTTAGCAGGCCCAGCTGGGTTCAAACCCACCAGCCCCGGAGCATGTGGCGGATGCCCTCACCACTGAGCACTGGCGCCCCTAGTTGATTGTCTTTTTTTTTTTTGAGACAGAGCCTCAAGCTGTCCCCCTGGGTAGAGTGCTGTGGCATTACAGCTCACAGCAACCTCCAACTCCTGGGCTCAAG